TTTTGCGTATATAGACTTTTGTCACGCACGTCACGTCTCTGTCAAAGCGATCTTCAATTGATTTTGCATATACTTCTGCCGAACATTTTTTTTTTCAGAAGGATTTTTTGAGCATTGCTTTCAAAATGATTTGCAAGGCTGAAATTTATTTCTAGGAGCTATAAAACATAAATTTCTTACTTCCTAGAAATTAATGATTCTGCGCACCTTGAAGGTTTCCAAGATTGTCAAGCACTAATCGAATCAGCGATAACTGCAAACTCAATTGTGATCCTGGTTTTTTTTTCATCAAATTGCAGTCATGCCCATTAATGGAATTCGATAGATGATTTATTGCAACAGATTTTGGTGGAAGATTAATTTGGCCATTTACAGACCTATAGAACGATAATGAATAAATTTAAATGAAAAAAATCAAGAATGCATTCCTCTAAACTTTTCTTCTTCGCCAAAATTAGTTTAATATTAATAATCATTGAAACTCTTCGAATGCCGTCAATCGTCAGTCAAAACCTTTCGAACCGCTCCTTCTATATATGGCCTTGTTCGCCTCGTTTGTGGTTATTTTTCGTCATTCTTTATCTCTTCATCACCGCACCTCTGTCTATGTAATTACTTCGTCAAGGTGCGCGCTATCTTTGGACGAATCTGGGTGCAGTTCAACTCGCAGCATGGTTAAAAAATCCTTATTTGAGCTGGGAAAAAACCTCTCTCCCTTCAATTTTTCAGAATCTAAAACCTTGAAGTAGGACGACCACCTGCTATGAATTCGAATGTTCCACATGAGTTCTCCTACGTCGATTTGCATTCGACCGTGGCGTGTGTCGGTCGGCTCTCGAGAGAGAAAGAGAGACTGACTGTTTGACTGTTTGAACGGTCGAGCGTCGCCCAAGAGGTCATCGTCCTCTCCTCCCGAAACCTCTGCCCACATTCCGCTTCACCACCTCAAACTGTAACTTTTATGATTACAAAACAAAGAGCTGGTTCTCTCATTCAAACATGCTTTTTGAAGATTATGATATAGAACTAGTTTCCAGCATGTAATTTCAAGCATCTGTCTTTGATTGCGCGTTACGCTCAAATAAATCCTTCCATTCAAGCTTTGATATGCGCGCCACGATTTATCCCTCCAATGCTTGATCTTGTTTGTTTACGCCCATTGTTTGAATTTGCTCTAAACTGATTTATATCTTTCTTCCTCTTTACCGTATCTTAATTCGAGGAGATTTACATCGTTGAACAGGTAATCTGATCTTTATACTCTGGTAAAACAATAGAATGTGTGAATTTACACTGATTTTAAAGCTGTTCCTATCAAATATATCAGTGTTTTTTGTTTTTAGGCTGAGATTGGAAGCACATGGTTTGTGTTAATTCCGCGCTTTATGATAAGAGATTGCGATTTCTAAGAAACTCCATTTCTAAATTACTAGTGACTTCGCTAGGTAAGTTAGATAGAATTTCTTACTTTAATTCTCGATTCAAAGATTTGCAATTTTTTGAAGTTTTTTGATTATCACTCGAGCCATCCTGTGGTCGTCCCACCATTTTTTCCAAC